GCCTTGAGCGCCGAATTACTCCACCCCACAGCTGCCTCCTCCAACATTACCTACCACCATTCTCACACCACAACAACCCTCCACCTTCTTCACCACAGTACCAACACCTCCACAACCACTAACACCTTCACCACCACCAACACATTCTCCACCACCACCACTATCAGTACCACCACCAACACATTCTCCACCACCACCACTACCAGTACCACCACCAACACATTCTCCACCACCACCACTACCAGTACCACCACCAACACATTCTCCACCACCACCACTACCAGTACCACCACCAACACATTCTCCACCACCACCACTACCAGTACCACCACCAACACATTCTCCACCACCACCACTACCACCACCACTACCACCAGCACCACCAGCACCACCAGCACCACCACCACCATCAGTACCAACACCACTACCAGTGTCAGTGGCAGAAATTGATATGGGTGTTTCATTAGCAGTGACTAAGAGAATACTTAAACAAATATCTAATGAAAATCTCACCGACCTAACAAATTCACAAAGACCGGAAAGTTGTACCATTAAATATTATGATAGATATCGTGAGGAGACATTCACATATGGGACTAATAGAACAAGAACCCGGCAATGTGATGTTATAGTGGCCAGAATACGCCTGGGATATAGACGTATCTGGCAGCTTTCTCAAAACCCAAATGTCGAGTACACAATGTGTCAACTTTGTGAAAGAGAAAACATGCACTCTCTTGAACATTATATTGTAGAATGTCCCATACTGACTGACTTTCGCCCTCCTGGGCTAAGGTATGCTGAACTGTGTAGTTACTATATGAGTACTGGAACACTTGATGATATATTGGACTTGTACCCAAGATTAACCATGTAATGTATCAATTATACAATGCATGTATGTGATGTATCTATATAACCTGAGCTTGTAAAAGCATCTTAATCACCTTCAGTGATTAAGTGCTTAATTGCACACTAGTTTCTCTATCAGCTATCTCACCCTGTCAGAGTAAAAGAGACAAATGTATGTGAATGCATGTGTGTGTGCATGTATATGTATGTGTATAAAGTATATATGGAAGCTGATCAGAATTACATTTTACCTTTGTAAATGCACATTAATGACACTATGTAAAAGACACATCGAACACTTTATGTAGGGCATACGTAAATCTGTGTATCTATGTATTTATGTATTTGGACCTTACCTTTAAAGAACACAATAAAGTAGCCGTCATAACTGCAAGAAAAATGACAGGTTGGATAACAAGAACCTTTCACACTAGAGATGCTATACCGATGATGATACTTTTCAAGACGCTAGTGCTCTCTAGAGTGGAGTACTGCTGCACAATGACAGCCCCTTTCAAAGCTGGAGAAATTGCTGACCTGGAGAGCGTGCAGAGATCCTTTACTGCTAGAATCCACTCAGTAAAACATCTAAATTACTGGGACCGACTAAAGAGCCTAAATCTGTACTCCCTTGAGCGCAGGCGGGAGAGATACATAATAATTTACACGTGGAAAATAATTGAGGGGCTGGTCCCAAACCTCCACACAGAAATAACATCACATGAGACCAGAAGACATGGCAGGATGTGCAGAATACCCCCGTTGAAAAGCGGAGGTGTAACAGGTACTCTGAGAGAGAACTCTATCAACATCAGAGGCCCGAGACTGTTCAACACGCTTCCACTACACATAAGGGGCATAACTGGCCGACCCCTCACAGTGTTCAAGAGAGAACTGGATAAGCACCTTCAAAGGATACCTGATCAACCAGGCTGTGACTCATACGTCAGGCTGCGAGCAGCCGCGTCCAACAGCCTGGTTGATCAGTCCAGCAACCAGGAGGCCTGGTCGACGACCGGGCCGCGGGGACACTAAGCCCCGGAAGCACCTCAAGGTAACCTCAAGGTTCAGTAGTTGATTGTTCAATAAACCCTGAACTATATGTTTAACACATCTCTAACCCTGTCCATGGAGGACAGAAGAAAATGTATATATTCCGGTTAGCACTGTAAATGCGTGGCCACGTCTGTGGTAGAAAAATAATAATAATAATAACCCTTATTCTGCATCAATCAATCATCTCGTCTCATCACAATCAACTTGATAATGGTCCAACACGGACCGAAACGTCGTCGTCTCATTTCCTGGTGTATGATTTAGTCTTCATGTCTTAAGCCCCGTTATTGTGAATCATCGTCTGCAATTATGTTAAGAATTTAAGGCAAGAGAAAGGTAATATGTTAGGTAAGGGTCTTACCCTCCCTTACCTGAGTGAGTGAGGTAAGTACTGAGGGAGAGAGTAAGGAAGGCCCACTGTCTCCCATAAGTGAGTGAGGGAGACAGTGGGAGCAAGCGAGGGAGTGCGCATGGCTCCCCTCACGTGTGACGTCACAGCGTCATCAGCCGCCAGTGTCAACAAGTGGCCATTTTGTGTTCACACGACGAAAGATTTCTCGTACGTAAACACTTATTCTTTATATATAAAGTATTATTATCTTCTTCTTGTTCCATTAGTGAATTGATAAGTGAAAAATCAAAGTGCCACCAGTACCACCACAAGTTTGAAACACTGTAGAGAGAGTTGTTAAGATGTAATTGTGTGTGATGTGACTGTATTGAGCGCTGAATCACTCCACCCCACAGCTGCCTCCTCCAACATTACCTACCACCATTCTCACACCACAACAACCCTCCACCTTCTTCACCACAGTACCAACACTACAATCGACTTGAGAATGGTCCAGGACGGACCGAAACGTCGTCGTCCCTTCAATTTCTAGTGTGTGGTCTGGTCAACATACTTCAGCCACGTTATTGTGACTCATTGCCTACCTTCACCTCCACCACCACCAGTACCACCACCACTACTAGTACCACCACCACCAGTACCACCACCACCAGAACCACCACCACCAGTACCACCACCACCACTACCATCTTGACGTTATCTTCTGATGATTTCGGGGCTTAGCGTCCCCGCGGCCCGGTCCTCGACATGGCCTCCTTTTTGTTACACATCCCTAGGAAGCAGCCCATAGCAGCTGTCTAACTTCCAGGTACCTATTTACTGCTGGGTGAACAGATGCATCATGGTGAAAGAAACTCTGCCCATTTGTTTCCACCTCCACCGGGATTCGACAGACCCAGAACCTCAGGACTACGAATCCGAAGCGCTGTCCACTCAGCTGTCTGGGGCCCCCCTACCAGTACCTCCACTACTACCAGTACCACCACCACCACCAGTAGTACCAACAACACCGCTATCAGTACCAACCACCACCGCCAGTACCAACACCATCACCACTAATACCAACTGCACCACCAGCACCAACATCTCCTTTGCCAGTACCAACACCACCACCACTACCAGTACCAACACCACCACCACCACCAGTACCACCACCACCACCACTACCAGTACCAACACCACCACCACTACCAGTACCAACACCACCACCAGTACCAACACCACCACCACTACCAGTACCAACACCACCACCACTACCAGTACCAACACCACCACCACTACCAGTACCAACACCACCACCACCACCAGTACCAACACCACCACCACCACCAGTACCACCACCACCACCACTACCAGTACCAACACCACCACCACTACCAGTACCAACACCACCACCAGTACCAACACCACCACCACCACCACCAGCACCAACACCACCACCACCACCAGTACCACCACCACCACCACTACCAGTACCAACACCACCACCACCACCAGTACCACCACCACCACCACTACCAGTACCAACACCACCACCACTACCACCACTACCAGTACCAACACCACCACCACCACCAGTACCAACACCACCACCACTACCAGTACCAACACCACCACCACTACCAGTACCAACACCACCACCACTACCAGTACCAACACCACCACCAGTACCAACACCACCACCACCACTACCAGTACCAACACCACCACCACTACCAGTACCAACACCACCACCACCACCAGTACCAACACCACCACCACTACCAGTACCAACACCACCACCACCACCAGTACCACCACCACCACCACTACCAGTACCAACACCACCACCACTACCAGTACCAACACCACCACCACTACCAGTACCAACACCACCACCAGTACCAACACCACCACCACCACTACCAGTACCAACACCACCACCACTACCAGTACCAACACCACCACCACTACCAGTACCAACACCACCAGTACCACCACCACCACCACTACCAGTACCAACACCATCACCAGTACCACCAGTACCACCAGTACCACCAGTACCACCACAAGTGTAGGTAAATACAAATAGGTGAAAAGTAAGTGAGTGAAGAGCAGCGCGAGTGAAGAATAAGGCGCAACACGGGTACGGAACACATACAAAGATTAATGAGGTGTAGTGAGCGTGCTATGTCCCTATTAGGCAACTCGGGTATTGCATACTAGGCTGAGTAGTGCATTCTGGCTGTTAGGAACATTATATTTATATATATATATATATATATATATATATATATATATATATATATATATATATATATATATATATATATATATATATATATATATATATTATATATATATATATATATATATATATATATTATATATATATATATATATATATATATATATATATATATATATATATATATATATACACACATAGATAGAGAGAGGAGAGAGAGAGAGAGAGAGAGAGAGAGAGAGAGAGAGAGAGAGAGAGAGAGAGAGAGAGAGAGAGAGAGAGAGAGAGAGAGAGAGAGAGAGAGAGAGAGAGAGAGAGAGAGAGAGAGAGAGAGAGAGAGAGAGAGAGAGAGAGAGAGAGAGAGAGAGAGAGAGAGAGAGAGAGAGAGAGAGAGAGGAGGGGAGGGGGAGAGAGAGGGAGATCATGTATAATTATCAAGAGAATGACAGGCACTGTACCCAGTAATGTGTTTAATCTCAAGATAACACTCGCAGCCTTGAAAGTCGGGGTCAACATGCTCAGTTCCCCACTACCACTCTCTGACAGTGCCAGACCGTATGAGAGTTGCAGCATCCTTCTTTCACCTTGTCTACAGCACTGAGTTATACTTCTTCAAGCATGTATAAAGCGGACGCCTTTCACTAACAGCTCACGCCTGCTGTCATCGCCTTCACCAGTTTCCTAACGATTTTAGAACGCCAGTCAGTGAGTATGCTATGTTTAGAACGCCAGTCAGTGAGTATGCTATGTTTAGAACGCCAGTCAGTGAGTATGCTATGTTTAGAACGCCAGTCAGTGAGTATGCTATGTTTAGAACGCCAGTCAGTGAGTATGCTATGTTTAGAACGCCAGTCAGTGAGTATGCTATGTTTAGAACGCCAGTCAGTGAGTATGCTATGTTTAGAACGCCAGTCAGTGAGTATGCTATGTTTAGAACGCCAGTCAGTGAGTATGCTATGTTTAGAACGCCAGTCAGTGAGTATGCTATGTTTAGAACGCCAGTCAGTGAGTATGCTATGTTTAGAACGCCAGTCAGTGAGTATGCTATGTTTAGAACGCCAGTCAGTGAGTATGCTATGTTTAGAACGCCAGTCAGTGAGTATGCTATGTTTAGAACGCCAGTCAGTGAGTATGCTATGTTTAGAACGCCAGTCAGTGACTATGCTATGTTTAGAACGCCAGTCAGTGACTATGCTGTGTTTAGAACGCCAGTCAGTGACTATGCTATGTTGTGTCTCTTCTGTGACAACTATTTTGAAGCCTCGTCATTCTAATGTTCAGGTGAACTGTGATTGAATACTTGTTATTATGGCAGATTAGTAGGCTTATACTGGTTAAATTTTGCCTCGCTTATCATATTCAAGTGTTTCCTATATTTTGATAAGAAATACAACTATATATATCAACATGGTGTTTAAATGTGATATTTTTAACTTACATTAATAATAATTTATTATTAAATTACTATTAAATTACTTACATTAATAATAAATTATTTGATTCTGAAAAGTCTGTATGTATATGTCTCTTTCCAACCGTGTCCAAGATTAGCAGTTTGAGACTGGGACATGGAAATTGTCTTGCATGGATGACTATTGGTACATTTGAATAAATGAGGAGAGGAACGAGCGAGGCGAATGAGACATAATGAGACATAGACATGGTAATGAGACATAGGCGAACCAGGCGTAATGAGACATAGGCGTAATGAGACCAGGCGAACTATTGAACCCATTTTTTTTATTAAGATATGTAGGCACAGTCGATAAACAGCATTGTTTTACCCCTCTAGTCTGTGGAACGAGCAATATGGCAACGCTGTGTTTCTTATTGGGTTACTTTATGAATGACGAGGCGCTTTGTAATGAGTCTCATTGGTCAAAATACCACACATAGGTTTGTATAATTCACACTACTATCGATAGGAAATTACAGGACAGCTGTGAATATAAATGAGATATATATAGATTAGTGAGCAAGGGAGATGGCTCTACTTTTGTACTTAAGAGTTTATTGACCATTTGTGCTAAAGAGTTTATTTATCCTCACAATAAGTGGATTGTGAGGATACGGAGGCTGCCCAGCACGCATCTGGCCAGCTTTCCTCCTCCAGAACCAGCGGAGCCAGACGCAACGCTCGCTGAATGCCACGAGGGAGATGCACCCCCTCCATTGGAAGGGGTGCGTCTCCGTCGTCTCTGGCAGCCAGAGACGCCTCCCAAGACGCGGGATAACCCCTACCCCTGAAGGCTCCACAGGCAGAACAATCACACCAAACCCGCTCACCAAAAGCAGAAGGGAATGCCTCCTCCACCACCACAGCAATCGGCACACTGTGAACCTCCACTGGCACATTCCATAGCACATACCGCTTGGCAGACTTATCCTCAACCACACACACAAGCGGTCCGGCGACCCCAGGTATCACAGGGCGCCCCACCGACTTCTCGCACGCATCTGGGACACTCACAAACGGAAGGCTGGGAGGTAGGACGCCACCACCAGCCAACCCTGGTGCTTCCGGAGTCTTGAGAGGTGGAAAATCACCTTCCTGGAATATATTGACCCAGTCAGATGCCTTAACGGAGCACGCTGCCGCCAGGTGACCCAGCAGTCCACACCTATTACATATACGGGGCTGGCCTGAAGCGGAGTGTAGGCTCCATCAGGGATATCGAAGACGATATATTCTGTCAAAGTCCTGGTGCTATACGTCAAAGTCCTGGTGCCAGCAAGCATCCCCTTACAATACCCCTCACATCCCTTACCAGTCTCCGTGGTGTAGTGGTAAGTCTGGCGTTCCGCGAGCGCTTTGTCATGGGTTCGTATCCTGGCTGGGGAGGATTTACTGGGCGCATATCCTTAACTGTATTCTCTGTTTAACTAAACAGTAAAATGGGTTTGAAAACGATTCTTCGTGGGGTCGTATTCCAGTGAACATAGGATTAAGAATTTGCCCGAAACACTACGTGTACTAGTGGCTGTACAAGAATGTAAGAACTCTTGTATATATATATAACAAAAAACAAAAGAATAGCCAGCAGACATCTTGTTTCATAGTACATTTAGCGCTTTCCCAAACTGCCCAAGCAGCCTGGTCATTTCGAACGGGGCACCGCCACGTACGTCAATGTCACACTCAAGTTTAGGAGCAGACCACCTTAGTCCCAGGATCACTGTGCACAGGGTGCATAAGGGTTAATATAGTCTCGCTTAGGTGAACAGCAGCCAGGATAGCTGGTAGCCAACTATCTAAGCAGAGTCGTCATCTGGAGTACCACTTCTCCAAATGGTGTCTCACAAGAGGGTGGATGACCTGGCCGGAGCCCACGAGTGGGTAAGGCGGCGGCCGGAGGGACTCCCCCATGGGTATATATGATATCCCTCCCGCTCCGGGGCCTTGTTAGGAGCTTCCACTATGAATAGTTTTCCATGTATTCCGACGTCAAGTCATCAATCCTGCCGCTTAGGCAGCTTGCTGTTTTCCCTGGAAACACAAACCGTAACTGTCTCTATTTTCAGCTTGTTACAACTTGTAATAAAATTGTTGCATCTTGGCTTAACGTGTTTATGACGTATTAGAACGTTGTTACAACTTGATATATTGGTTGTTATAACTGGTTAGGAGGTGTTAAAACTTGTTCGAACGTTGTACCAACGTCGTAGTTTCGGTGTGTGTTTGGCGGGTTGACCTTCAGCGTTAGTTCTTTTTTAATGATATACTGTGCACCTCTCTGTGTGCTGTGTCCCATATAAGAAAAAAACAAATACAAAAGAATTTTCCATTTAATATATGTTTGTTTTTCAGGTTATTATTGTGTGTTATTAGTATCAACTTAACTCTTGTGGGTTGCGATGAGATCTGCCATTTATGTGTATTTTAATTTGTGTTTGATAGGGAATTAGGTATGCTTAGGGGTGCCTTCTCACCATGCCCTGTGGCTGGGGGGATTGGTGCCCTGTGGCTGGGGGGATTGGTGCCCTGTGGCTGGGGGGATTGGTGCCCTGTGGCTGGGGGGATTGGTGCCCTGTGGCTGGGGGGATTGGTGCCCTGTGGCTGGGGGGATTGGTGCCCTGTGCCTGGGGGGATTGGTGCCCTGTGGCTGGGGGGATTGGTGCCCTGTGGCTGGGGGGATTGGTGCCCTGTGGCTGGGGGGATTGGTGCCCTGTGGCTGGGGGGATTGGTGCCCTGTGGCTGGGGGGATTGGTGCCCTGAAGCTACATAAACACCCTATACCCCCCGAAGTGGCAAGGGGAGTTAGGGGACAACAATGACCACTCGGACGGTGCCTACACTATCAGGAACATAAGAACAAAGGTAACTGCAGAAGGCCTATTGGCCCATACGAGGCAGCTCCTATCAATAACCGCCCAATCCCACTCATATACTTGTCCAACCCGCGCTTGAAACAATCGAGGGACACCACCTCCACCACGTTACGCGGTAATTGGTTCCACAAATCAACAACCCTGTTACCGAACCAGTATTTACCCAAGTCTTTCCTAAATCTAAACTTATCCAATTTATACCCATTGTTTCGTTTAATAGGGAATATTAACATCCTATTAGGAATAGGGAAATAACATCCTTCACACCAATCAAGGAACTCCTGGAACCCAGCTTGCTGTAGAAGTTCGACATCCACACGGCGGTCTTGAACGAGCTGAACGCCCACCAAATCTGCCCATTGGACACCGAGCATCTCCATGAGCGCAACGCCAAATGTCGTTTAGTCCACCAGTGTAGAAACCTAGTCCAGTCGAAGAAGTCCGCTTAAAGTGAAGCAATGACGACCCTATGCTGGAGCAACTAAACCCTGCACCAGCAGGGTACCACACAGGGCACGGTACCACACAGGGCAGGGTACCACACAGGGCACGGTACCACACAGGGCAGGGTGCCACACAGGGCAGGGTACCACACAGGGCACGGTACCACACAGGGCAGGGTACCACACAGGGCACGGTACCACACAGGGCAGGGTGCCACACAGGGCACGGTACCACACAGGGCAGGGTACCACACAGGGCACGGTACCACACAGGGCAGGGTACCACACAGGGCACGGTACCACACAGGGCACGGTACCACACAGGGCACGGTACCACGCAGGGCACGGTACCACACAGGGCACGGTACCACACAGGGCACGGTACCACACAGGGCACGGTACCACACAGGGCAGGGTACCACACAGGGCACGGTACCACACAGGGCAGGGTACCACACAGGGCACGGTACCACACAGGGCACGGTACCACACAGGGCACGGTACCACACAGGGCACGGTACCACACAGGGCACGGTACCACACAGGGCACGGTACCACACAGGGCAGGGTACCACACAGGGCACGGTACCACACAGGGCACGGTACCACGCAGGGCACGGTACCACACAGGGCACGGTACCACACAGGGCACGGTACCACGCAGGGCACGGTACCACACAGGGCACGGTACCACACAGGGCACGGTACCACACAGGGCACGGTACCACACAGGGCAGGGTACCACACAGGGCAGGGTGCCACACAGGGCACGGTACCACACAGGGCACGGTACCACACAGGGCACGGAACCACACAGGGCACGGTACCACACAGGGCAGGGTACCACACAGGGCACGGTACCACACAGGGCACGGTACCACACAGGGCAGGGTGCCACACAGGGCACGGTACCACACAGGGCAGGGTACCACACAGGGCAGGGTGCCACACAGGGCATGGTACCACACAGGGCAGGGTACCACACAGGGCAGGGTACCACACAGGGCACGGAACAGTCACCCACCCACCGACTCCATACCTCGCTCGTCAACTGAGGACCAATACGTTAGCACTCCGGCACCCTCTAGCAGCCAACCATCGAATCCAGGGGCTAGATTCACGAAAGCACTTAAGAACCTGTACATCTTTTCTCAATCTTTGGTGGCTTTGTTTACAATTATTAAACAGTTAATGAGCTCCGAAGCACCAGGAAACTGTTTATAAAAATAACAACAGTTGATTGGGAAGTTTTCATGCTTGTAAACTGTTTAATATATGTAACCAAAGCCGTCAAAGATTGAGAAAGATGTACACGTTCGTAAGTGCTTTCGTGAATCTAGCCCCTGGTTCCTGGGACTTAGACAACTGTTGTGGGCTGCGTCCTGAGCAAGATCATCAGTAGTTGACCTAGCGAGGACTAGCGTTAAGTTCGTTAACCTATCAAGACGCAACCCGTTCTCGCAAATTCGTAAAGTCAATATTGACTTATTAACTACGTGCATAGGTGATATACTAAACATAATAGATACCCTTAAAAAGATTCATAGAAAACACCGACCTTACCTAACCTTGTTAGTATCTTAAGATAAGCATCTTATTGCTTCGTAATTACAATTATTACCTAACCTATAATAGGTATAGGTTAAGTAATAATTGTAATTACGAAGCAATAAGATGCTTATCTTAAGATACTAACAAGGTTAGGTAAGGTCGGTGTTTTCTATGAATCTTTTTAAGGGTATCTATTATGTTTAGTATATCACCTATGCACGTAGTTAATAAGTCAATATTGACTTTACGAATTTGCGAGAACGGGTTGGCTATCTTGTATTTATGGCCAATAATTTACTTATCATTTTACTTCTACTTATTAAAGTAGATTATACTTTACTTATATTAAGTAGATTATACTTTTACTTATATTATGCAAATTAAACATTTGTTTAGATTAATTAATTAATTTACCAATTTAGCCCAGTGCAAGCATCAATCATCCTACCCATAAATACCCAAATATTGCCAAATTGCAAGATCATGCTCTTAAAATTATCAGGGAAAATGGAAGAACATTTAACAAGCAGTCGGCTTCCTGTCCTCGCAGAGGCCACTATAGAGTGGCTTTCTCTTTCTTTCTTTCTCATCTACATTAATGACCTTCCAAATGCCTCCCAACACCTCAAACCAATTCTATTTGCTGACGACACAACCTTCATTTACTCCAGTCCTGATCCCCTTGCTCTAAATGCCACAGTAAATACTGAGCTTAATAAAGTCCATCTGTGGCTAACTGCCAACAAACTCACCCTTAACATTGACAAAACTTTCTATATTCTGTTTGGCAATAAATCCTCTAATCAAATAAATCTCAAAATAAACAATACCCAAATTTGTAACAAATTAGATGGCAAATTCCTTGGCATTCTCATTGACCACAAGCTGAATTTCCAGGGACACATTCTAAACATATCAAAAAAAAATTAAAAAACTGTGGGCATTCTTTCTAAGATCAGATATTATGTACCACGCCCTGCCCTGGTGACTCTCTATTACTCCCTTATCTATCCATATCTCAACTATGGTATTTGTGCTTGGGGCTCTACTACCCAAAATCACTTACGTCCTCTAATTACTCAACACAAAGCTGCTATTAGGACAATATCCAACTCTGGCCCCAGACATCACTCGGTACCCCTACTCAAATCTCTGAATATGTTAGACATTAAGTCACTGCACATTCTCTCATGTGTATTATACATATATAAAACGCTAAACTATAATGCCATCCTGATCTCAAAAGCTTCATAGAAGGTTGTAACAGAACCCATGATTACCACACTAGAAATAAATACAGTTTTGATATTCCTAGAGTACGACTTAATCAAACTAAAATGCTCTACAAATCAAGGGGCCCAGAATGTGGAATGACCTTCCCAACCATGTTAAAGACTGTACCTCTCTCAACCAGTTTAAGATAAAAACTAACACTACCTAATAAATTCCCTGTAATCTACCTCACTCCTCTATTGTCAACCCATGTCTGTTATTTTCTTTTTTTAATCAACACTGTTAGTCAACCTATTGTATTTGTGCTGCTTTTTCAGTCATGTTCCCCCCTTTTTTTTATCTTTATTTGTATTTGTTCTCAACACTTTTTATTCTTTATGCTCAATTAGTATTAAGTTCTAGATATTAATGTTTTTCTTGCCCGAAACGCATTGCGTAATAGTGGCTTTAGGCATTGTATGTACTAGCTCTATCTATATATCAATCCATTAATGTAACATCACTTGTATGTATATACCTTACCTGAATAAACATATTTATTTATTTATTTATAGAGTGTTAGTGGACCTCAGGTTAATCAGGTATATAGCTTTCACCCAAAACCCGAAGCATTCTCTTTCACGTTGTTGGTGAAACAACTGATAACGGAATGTATTTTGTTTGCCAATTAGTTATATAAACGTTTTACGAAGCAAATAGCTTTTTGGGGGGGTTTAGCATTTATCATATTGGTGAGCATGTTGAGACTATGATACTCTTCAAATGGCAACGATTTGCACGCAAATCTCGTGTAATTCTGACACATAACGCACATAATTCCTTGGCTGCTGAAGTTCACACTATCCCTATGGTACACTTAGAGTTGATTGCTATCACTAAGCAGCAACCTGTCCTCACGTCCACGTACGACGTCTCATAGTAACCGTCCCATCGCCGATGACAGCAGAATAGTTTGTTTGCTCAAATTTGGATGATAGTTGTATTTTTCAGTCCCACTTCTAGTGTGAAATTTACGTACCAATTTCCATACTGTTTCTATATATCATGCATCAGCTGCATCCTATTGAAGGCACGTAATTTAGTTTCAGAAATCTTGGGAGTTCAGTAAATTATAATAACTATTTTATCAATTATTATCTGTAATTATATTATAAAGATTAGGTTTGAAGAAATAGAAATAGAAAAAGGGCTGTAGTTGTTTGTAGTGTTTCCTATCACCGAATGTCTCTGTTCACCTAGCAGTAAATAGGTATCCACTGGGGCCAGATTCACGAAAGCACTTACGAAAGCACTTACGAACCTGTACATCTTTTCTCAATCTTTGGCGGCTTTGTTTCCAATTATTAAACAGTTAATGAGCTCCGAAGCACCAGGAGGCTGTTTATAACAATAACAACAGTTGATTGGCAAGTTTTCATGCTCGTAAACTGTTTAATAAATGTAACCAAAGCCGTCATAGATTGAGGAAAGATGTACACGTTCCTAGGTGCTTGCGTATAATTTTTATTTAGGCAAAGGTACATACATAAAGAGATTTTACAAAGTTTGTTGTTTTACAAAGTTTACAAAAAATCATCGCTGTTTGCCATTGGCAGAGGTTTTATACAACCAAATGACCATTTTACTTTCCTTCCGGCAGACATGGTGTGTGCGTGGGTCGGAGACATGCTGGGGTGTGGCAGTTCCATCCTCCTGATCCTCTTTCTCCTCCTTCTCTTCCTTTTCTTCGCTCCAGGAAGACGCCCTCCCAATTTTCCTCCAGGTAAGGATAGTAGACTAACGCATGTAAACTGAAGGAAATACGCCTGAATGGATGGATAGATAGCCATTCAATCTTATCAAACAGATGCATTATAGGATAGACCAGTCATAGGTTGTACTCGGCCACCTTATAAGTATACGAGAAGATGGGTCAATAGAGAGGTTTACCGATGGTTCACTGATAGTCACACAGATACATGAATAGATATTAACAAATTAAAAATATAA